TGGATCAGATACATAATCTCGGAATTTCCTTTCACTTCTTGAAAAACTTCCAGGTTGTATAGTTTACAGAGAATATCAACTTCCTCCACCCCCTTCCCTTCAGTGGCACAGAGGAAGGTGTGAATAAAAACACTTAAAGGTGATTTCCCCTGAGCCTCCCCAGCCAGCCCATGCTGGGGGCCCTTGCCACTGGCTTTGAGGAAGACCTCAGTGGTCCCCAAGCCTGCTGCATCACCAGGCAGGTCTTCCTAGACACTGGCAGAGGGAGCAGAGTAGCGAAATGGATAAGATTGTTGTCCGCTTTAGGTTAAGTTCAATAGAATGTGAACTTGACCAACCCCTTGTTGCTGTGCCTTAAAGACCATGGAAATCACTCACAAGTGGGCTGGCCAACCCAGCCACATTCCTGCCCTCTGTGCCTGCAGGGCTCAACTTCTTTGCTTCCTTCCTGTTGTCTTCCCAAGTCATTAAAAGGCTCTGAAAGCCACAAGCTACCCATAAAACTTTTCCCTAAGCGCTCCTTAAATTGCTTTCTCCAGCCTGAGGCAAATATATGCTGAGCGCTGGACTAGGTCTCCTGAAGCTGTAGTGCAGAGCTAAAGGACCCACACAGCCTCCCAAGACCACAGTCATGGAGTGTGAATGTGCTGGGGAGGGAGGACAGAACAAATGGGACAAAGAGGAGGGTGGTCATTGGGGCCTTGGGGTGGGGGAGAATGTTAGGGGAGGGGTTGCCTGCATTGCTGTCTCCGTGAGCTAACTTGTGAAGCCAGGAAAGTGTGTAACAGGGCTGGAGGGGGAGGGAGGAGGACACGACACAGCATTTGTTGAGCGATCAGGCTGTGGGGCCAGGCCCATGCATGTGAAGAAGCTTAAACTTGTTTTGGGAACACTGGGGTCCCTAGGCCACAGAGAGTGGAGGCACTGAGGTGGCTGCTGTGTCTATGGAGAGATATCAAGGTTCAAATGCTGCCACTGTAGAGGGGACTTTGACAGTCTCACCATTGCAACAGTCAATGTCCTAGACGTCTTTGGGCTCCCCAGCCTGCCCTCCTTTCTGTAGGCTTCAGGGAAAGAATCCCCAAAAACATGGACTGTTCTCTACTTCCCTTTGGTCAGGAGACAGCCGGGCCCTAGGCCAAGAGACTGGGGGCCCCAGGAGCTCAGCTGCTGGGGCTGCCTGATGCAGAGCTCTACCACAGTCCTCTGTCCCTGATGTCAACCTCACTTATGCCCCTTCCTCCTGTTTCCCCTGTATGTTTCCTTTTGTCCACTTGGTTGGTTCTTTGTATTAATCAGACTCCTGATTACTTTAGAAATTCTGGAAATGACAGAAAATCAAAGAAGAAAGTAAAATTCACTCTTATTAGAGATAATCACTGTCAGTGTTTTTTCCTGTGCATTTTCTGTTAACATTTTCAGAACAGTCTTTGCAAGATTATTTTCAGTGGTTGTACAGTGGTCCAGCTGATGGCTGTAACTATTTGGGTACATCTATTTAAAATGTATTCAAAGTATCTTCCTGCCTCAGCCTCTCAAGTGCTGGAATTGCAGGTATGCACCACCGTGCCTTCCTTGCCCTCCATTGTCTTGTTTTCATACTTCCAGCTGAGAAGTCAGCTGTCAGTTTTAATTTGTTCTTTGAAAGTTGGGTGTTTTTAATTTGTTTCACTAGTAATTTGGCAGTGATTAGCCTAAATATGCTTTTCTTGTTTTTCTCTTTTTTTTTTTTTTTTTCTGGATTGAACCCAGGGCCTCATCTATGGTAGGCAAGGACTCTACCACGTGAGCCATGCTCCCAGCCCCTTTATATTTTGTTTTTGAGATAAAATCTCACTAACTTTACCCAGACTGGCCTCGAACTCAAGATCGTCCTTCCTCTGGCTCCCAAGTAGCTGGAATTACAGGTGTGCACCACCACAGCTGACTTTTTCTTTGAGGTTCATAGTTTAATTTATGGTTTTATGATTATTTCATTCATCCTATACAATTCATTATTTCTATAAATATTTCAGTCATTACCTCTTTTAAGTATTGCTTCTGGCACTCTTTACATACATAGGTCTTTTCATCATATTCCATATGTCTCATGTATTTTTCAATTTTACTCCTCTGTGCCTCAATCTGGGTATCTTTTGGTATATCTGAAAGGTCATTATTCCTTTTTTAGCTGTATCTAATCTGCCATTAAACTCTTTTATTGAGTTCTAAATTTTGGTTATACGTTTCAGTTGTAGAATTTTCATGTGATTCATATTTATAGTTTCCAGTTCTCTGCTGAAATTATCTTTGGTCTACTTTCCTGGATTTTATTAATTGGAATTATTAAGAATTTCTAATAATTCCAATATGTTGATCTCTTATGCGTATATATATATTTTTTCTCATGGTTTTGATTGAATCCTGGATGTTATATATGTTGTGGAGCTATCAAAAAAAAAGTTGTGGAGCTAATTTAAGGTTCTGGGTAATTTATTTTCCTCCAGAGAGAATGTCTACTCCTAGCAGGCAGTGGGGTTGGGGGTTCCCTGACCCACCCTTTCAGGGCTGGCTCTAACCCTGCTGAAGGGCGGGCCAGTCATCCATTGCGTGGTACAGGCTGTTTCCATCCTTGGGAAGAGAATCTGTTGTAGGTTCACCCCTGCTTTTAGCATGGAAAGCCCGGGGGGCTTTGCCAGGGCTAGACTCTCTCCAGCTGCATGAGATTGCAGGAAGCTCAGCTTTCCAGCCACTGCTCATAAAGAGACAGATGTTCAAGGGAAAGAGGCGCCAATGTCAGGCTCATGTTATTACACTTCTATTATCTCTGTGCTTGCAGCCCTTGAAATCCTTGTTGCCTTGGCACCTCTCCAAGGCCAATAAATAGAGGTTTAAAATATGTCTGTGGTCAGCTTGTTAAGTTGTTTGTAGAAGGGGAGTTAAATCTTGGACTCCTTTTGGGAAGGCCAGGCCCCTGAGCAGAACCCAGGGTTCCTTCCGCAGAGACGCCTGCCCTCTGACAGTTGGCTGGGGGCAGTTAGTTGGGTGTTATAAAGGGTGAGTCAGAAGAGGGCTTGAACCTAGCTTGATAGAGCTGGGCACTCCCTGCATAGCCTCTGTGTTCACAGATGTGGAAACTGAGGCCCTGAATGGGGCCATTGTTCAGCAGGGGGCACCGGATTGCTGCTCTCCTGTTCTGGCCTCCCCCTTCCCCTATGGGTTTTCCCTCATTCCGGGTTCTTCTGAAACCCTGGGTGACCTGGGGCTGTAGCATGGGGACTCTCCTCCCTCCTGCTGATTTCTCACAGAACCTAGAGCCAGGCTTTTAAAATTTTTTTGTTCTCGCTAATCCCTGCAGTTTTCTTCCCACACCCAGCTTCTCTTCCTCTTTTCTCCCCACCCTGTTATGAACAAAAGTCATTGCAGCAAGTTAGACCCACTTTCTCACCCTGTGCCTCAGTGACCTAATGTTTACCCCCAGGCCTGGGGCAGGTATTGTGGGCTGGGGACAGGATGGGGTGTCCCTGCTTCTTAGAGGAAGCAAGCTCCAGGAGTGTGGGGTGGCCTTCAACCACTCAGCCATGCTGCTACTCTCCCAGGCACAGCTGCTCAGCCCAGGGCTCTCAGGCATCAAAGGCCCTGGCAGGAGGGAAGGCGATGGTATGTTGGTATGTGAGCAGGTGGAGCTCCAAGTTCAAAGCACTGCCACTTGCTTGCTAGCTGTGTGAACACAGGCACCAGTTGCCTTGCCTCTGGGAAGGGTTGCCCTCCCTGGGGCTAAAGGAAGTCAGCAGTACTCTTACCTGGCCCAGGCAAAGGGTTCCTAGGTGACAGCCTTGGGAGGCCTTCTTTGTGGAAGCCGAGGACTTTCAGAGGGGCCAGTGGTCAAGGACCCAAAAGAGGTGGGGGGATGTAGAGGGGTTACCCCTTCACCTCCTGGGGTCTAGAGGTCTGTCCAGCATTTCTGCCTTGCTTTATTTAGTTCAGCAGCTCCCAGAACTCTTACCTTGCTGCCTTGAGGAAAAACCAGGACCACCCTTCTTCCCCAGGACAACCGTGTGTATATGGGCGGGGGGTGGGGGAGGTTGATGAGAGCTGCTGAGCCAGGGAGGCCCCCAGTGTGCTCTGCCAGCCTGCCTGAGAAGACTATGATAAGAGGCCACAGCTCCTACTGTGTGTTTTTGGCCCCTGCCTCCCTTTCATGGAAGTTTGGGATCTGTCCTGGTCTCCTTCTTAAGATCTCATTCTGAGGCATGGACCATGCAGTTCCTATCACTGTCCAGCTGGTCCGTGGCTTACTGTTTTACACATGGTTACACAGGTTTCCAAATCCCTCCAGGGCCACTTCTCCCCTGTGTGGGTGGGGGTCAGCCTCTTGTGTGCTTTGTGCCTTAGTCCTGTCCACTATAGCCTCAGGCCTGGATGCCATCTTCTCCCAGAGTCCTTGGCATTCCTCACCACACGCCCTTGACCTACCACACTCAGGCCCCTTCCATTAGTAATTGAGAGACTATGTGACATTGGCCCCAGGACATAATGATCTGGGGAGGAGGTCTGGGCTTGGGGACCTAGTGGAGAGGTAGATTTTCTTTTTTGAGTGACTTAGCCTAAGAGCTCTGGCTCTGATTGGGAGTCATACCTAGGCTTAGTATCAAGTGTGCAGTCACTGCTGTGTGATTCATGATAGTAGTACAGTTTCTCCGATCTTCAGCTCCTGCACCTGTCACATAGAAAGAATCCAAGAGAGACAGAGTCAAGTGAATGCTCCCAGTCACCCTCTCAGCTCTAGGGAATCTGACTCCTTCAGTGAAGGCAGGCCTTGGGTGAGCTGCAAGTCTGGCTGCATAGAGGGAGGGCCTGGAGACCTGTCCCAGTGATGCTTCTGTTCTGTGCTTCCCTACCCACCTGGCCATCTCCAGAGAGCTTGGCCTGGGTAGACTCATATCATCTGGACGTGCAAGAGGTGAATGAGACAGTGTCCCACACTTGACTCTTTGTTTGCACATTCTCTGCTCTCACAGGGAACTCAGACTGCGGAACTATGTCCCTGAGGATGAGGACTTGAAGAGAAGGAGAGTGCCCCAGGCCAAACCTGTTGCAGGTAGGTAGGCCTCCTCTCTCCACCTCTGCTCCCTGTCACTGCCAGTCACCCTCCACTTTGGCAGGTGTTGCCGTCTCTTGAGGAATAACTGCCAGTGCTGGGCAGAGATAGGACCCTCTGTCACCATCCCATGACAGGTGCACAGATAATCTTCAGGACAGGAAAGAGGCTGCTGCTCATGCTCAGCTCAGCTCACCTCCTGCGGTGGGGGCAACCCAGGGACCTACCAGGGGTCCTGGAAGGGGCCACACATCCTCACGGGACCCCTGGATTGAGAGGTGTGGGGCCCTTGGATAGCAGGGTGGGGTGACAGTTCCTATGGGCACCAGGGTGAGAGACCCTGATGAAGGGCTGAGCATGTGAGCACTCAGCAGTGGGCAGGCAACCCACAAACCAGAGAGAGGCCTGACCTGGGTTTTCTTGCCTTTTTATGGTATAGGAACAGCACAGCAGACATGCACATGCTGGGAGCCTGCTGGGCATAGGGTCCAGATCCCTGCTCCCTGGCCTGGAGCATCTTAGTCTTTATTCTTTAGTTTTTGTTACCAATTTTTAATTGTACAAATAATCATCTTGTAAAAAAGTCAAGTTCACTCCCAGTCTGCTTCCCCACCTCTTCACTCCCTAAAAGCCAGACCCTTCCCATATGACTTGGGCCACAACTGTATACCACCTGATGGGACAGTGGCAGGGTCTGGGTGGAGTGCATAAAGCAGGACAGGGAGCTGGTCCCCTGCCGCAGGGCAAGGCCCATGGCCCCTGATGGCAGTTGTTGGAGGCAGCCCATAGAGCCTATGGTTGTTACTGCTTCTGGTACCTGTCCCCACCCAGAGGCAGAGAGTGTCTGTTAGCACATGTCTGAGGAGGGGTAAAAGAAAAGCCACCTACGGCTCTGGCCAGGCCAAGACCCAGACGACATCCTCAGAGCCTTTTCCAAAACCACACTTCCCACGTATCCAGGAAACCCTCTCATTTGATAGCTGGGGAGACAGACACCAAGGTTAGCATGCATGCTCTCTGACTAGAGGTCTGTCTACTTCAGCCGATGGATTCCTGCTGCCTCTTTCTAACTCCTGGGGCATTCTGGGAAACCCAGGTCTCTCAGAGATGCCTTTACAGGGGCTTCACCTCTGACTGATTGGGGGCCAAGGAGAAAGGAACCTGGGGTTCCTCCCCCTCCCTGGGGCCACCAAGGCTGTTGTCACTGCAGTAGCAGCTCCAGCCACACAGGCCTGTGTTCTCTTGCACCCTCTAGTGGAAGAAAAGGTGAAGGAGCAGCTGGAGGCTGCCAAGCCAGAACCTGTCATTGAGGAAGTGGTGAGTGTCAGGGCGGCAGCTTTTTCCTCTCCCACGCCCACTCTCACCCTGCCCTCTTCCTTCTCTTCACGTAATTATTCCCTTTTCCCTTTCTACCTCCTTACTTGCCCTTGTCCCCTCCTTCCTCCTCCCTTTCTTCCATTTCCCCACCTGTGTTTCCTGTCTCCCCACATCCCCTGGGGCTGGACCTTCCAGCCCTGATGAGTGTTTCCTCCCTCCCTAGGACCTGGCCAACCTGGCACCCCGGAAACCTGATTGGTGAGTATTGCCTGCGCAGGTTGGTGCAGACCAATGGGGGCCCTTGGTGCCGGGCATGGGCCTCGGGCTGGACCCTGCCCAGAGTAAGAGACAGATAATACAGACATAGAACTGCATGAGACAGTCAGAAGTAAAGACTGAGCAGGACTTGAACAAGGGACAAGAGAGAGTGCTAGGGAGGGGTCCAGGGTGGGGAATAGAAGTCCCCTAGAGAAGCCCCATCTAGAGGGTGAGAACCCACTCTGCTCTAGAGCATTCTATTTGACCAAAGACGTCCTTTGCCCTTGGGATCAGAGTTCTGTCCATGTTTTCCTCTGGCCCCAGTTTCTCATCTGTGGCATGGGAGGCTCCTCCTTTTCCGAGCGCCCCAGCCACTGTGGGCCAGGAGGAATGTGTCTCTCTCTACCTTGGGCCAGGGATAGGGGTCATATCCCTAGTACCTGCGTCAGGTGCTTTAATTTGATGGAACTAAGCTTGAAGCATGTGTTCTAGGAACCCCAGAGCCAGGGAGAGCAGGCTAAGCTCATGTCTGCAAGCTTCAGGGGTCAGGGTGAGCCTTTAGCCAGAGGAGGAGATGGGCACACAGGGGGCTAGGGCAAGTCACTCCCTGATGGTGACCCAGTGGGATCTGACCAGGATATGCCCACCTTTGTATGCCTTGGCTCAGTCCCCCACATTGGTGGGTCTGTGGTGTCATCATTGTGTCTCTGGGATTAGGAAGGATGTCTAGATTTCAGAGGATGCAGAGAGAGAGCAGAAGCCAGCCTCTCAATAAGCAGCTGAGTGTGATTTCTAATGCCAGACAGTGGTTACAGGAGGGAGCCCAGGGCCACAACAGGAAAGCCTTTAGCACCCTCCCCACCTCTCCCTCCTTCCTGCTCTAGGGACCTCAAGAGAGATGTGGCCAAGAAGCTGGAGAAGCTAGAAAAGCGGACCCAGAGGGCCATTGCTGAGCTGATCCGTAAGTGCAGCCTTAGCAAGCTGGGTCCTGCCTGCTGGGTGGTGGCCCAAGCACAGGGTGCTTCTCCAACCTGCCTGTCTGTTCTCGCTCCAGGTGAGCGGCTGAAAGGCCAGGAGGACAGCCTGGCCTCTGCAGTGGATGCCACCACAGAACAAGAGGCCTGTGACTCCGACTAGGTGCATCTGGTGTGCTATCTTCTTGCCAGGCCTGTCCTGAGGGAAGATGGTCCATGTCTTTTTGAAAACTAAGCCAGCCCTTGTGAGTCTGAACCTCCATGGGGTGAGGTCAGTTCTTGTCTTCTGAGGGTCCCTACCACAGAGTGGAGCAGGGCAAGCAACAGCTCTGTGCACATGCCTGTGTCTGTACATATGTAAATATTTTGAACTTTTTTTTTAAATCTCTGGAAATGGAGACAAGTAAACCCCTTTGTGTGTGTAGCAGAAACTTGTCAAATGTTTCTTGGCTCCTGGGGTGCTGTGGGTTTGGACTCCCAAGACAGGGTAACACAGGAGTGGTGCTCAATGTGAATTACCTGTGATAGGCCAGACATGTTGAGGCTGGAGGGGTGGAGAAGGCCTGGGCTGACCTTCTGGGTCTGAGTCCTGTCCCCATTCATGGCCAGCAGTGATCATCTCAAACCCTTGGATAACAGAGACTGTCTGAGATAGGCCTAGGCTAGACAACTGGAAAGACTCCCATGCTGGTCCTCTGCGGGCCTCCTCACAGTATGGAGAGAGGAGGAGACTGGGCCTTGGCAAGCCTCCATGGAGGCCACTCCAGATCTGAGGACCCTGCACTGTGCTCCTGACTCTGCCCAGCCCCAGCAGCCTCTCTCCCTACTCTACCATTCAGACTGGACTCTGGCTCCCCAGCACAGGGCCCCCAACATAAGGGAGAGGGGACCATTCTGATAGAGACTAGATGTGGTAGCTGAGTATCTGGTGTGGTCTTGGGCCCTGGGCCTCCAAGATCCTGGCTGGAGGACACTGACCCTCCTCTATGGAGATGACTCTCCAGGATGACTGACTGATCACATTAGCTCTGACTCTAGGTACTTCCAGAAAGGTTATCTTCAGAACTTCACCTTGAGCCTCTTTCCCCTGGTCCTAGTCAGCCACTGTGTTCTTCCCGAAACTCAGTGGCCCAGCTCTGGCAGTCAGTGCTAAAGACTTGAGTCATGGAGGTAGAGCATGTGTGTATACAGAGACCAGGGTAACCATAAAATAAAATAATATCCTTTAAATGAAAATTAGGCAGAACTATTTAGCCAGAACTGGCCTTGAACTGGTAAGCTTCCTGCCTCCTCCTAAGTGCTGATGTTATAAGCATGTACCACCATGCCCTGCCAAACTGTAGGTACTGGGGTTCCAACTAAGGGCTTTCACACTTGCTAAATAGGAGCTCTACTGCTTGAGCCATGCCTCCATCCCAAATTGTACATTTTAAATGAATGAACTGTATTCAGTAAGACTTTAAAAAAAAAAAGACATGAACTTTCTTCTTTAGACTGACGTGCTACCTACTACACTAATGAGGCTCCCTAAACTTTCTTCTTTAAAAAAAAAAAATCTGCAGGGTGCCAGTGATGCACGCCTGTAAACCTAGCTATTCAGGAGCCAGAGATTAGGAGGATCTCAATTCGAAGCCAACTCCTGGCAAATAATTCATGAGACCCCCATCTCAGAAAAACCCTATCACAAAAAAAGGGCTGGTAGAGTGGCTTAAGGTGTAGGCCCTGAGCTCAAACCTGAGTACCTCAAAACAAAAAAGTCTGCTGGGTGCCAGTGGCTCACGCCTATAATCCTAACTACTCAGGAGGCAGAGATCAGGAGGATTTTGGTTCCAAGCCAGCTTGGGCAAATTGTTCTGTGAGACCCTATCTAAAAAAAAAAAAAAAAAAAAATCACAAAAAGGGGCTGGTGGAGTGGCTCAAGGTGAAGGCCCTGAGTTCAAACCCCAGTACCAGGGATAAAAAAAATCTAAAGGGTGTCTTCAGAGTGAAGAGACACAATCCCAAATGAAAAGTCTTAAGGCATAAGAAGGAATGCGGAGGAGTCTTTGCTCCCATTTCTTGTGTTGGGAACAGGAAATGTTTCTCTCTTTTTCTCTCCCCCACCCGCTTGTCTATACTTTATCCTGTATACTAAAATAAATCCTTGCTAAAACTTTCAAAAACAAACAAAAAAAGGAAATGAAGAGAAAGAATTAAAATTTTAATAGGCATTGATCTTACAAAAAAAAAAAAAAAGTCCCTCCCTCCCTCCCTTCTTTCCTCCTTTACTCCCCTTCTCTCCCCCTTACCCACTTTAGATTCCAGGGTTCCCAGCCCACTAGGGAGCTGTAAGTCCAGAATGGGAGGTGGTTGGGGTGGTCCTCTAAGAAGCTTGACAGGAAGAAGGATAAGACTGGTGTACAGATAGACATTTTAAAGGTAACCTGGTGTAAGCCCTGAGTTTGAGCTCCAATACCAGAAGGAAGGAAAGGGAAGGAGGCAGAGATTAAGGAGGGAAGGAAAGGAAGATGAGGGGAAGGTGCTGGAAATGTGAAACAAGTGGTAGAGTACCTGCCTAGCAAGCAGAAGGCTCCAAATTTGAACACCAGTAGCACAAAAAATAAAAACCTGAACAGCAAGATTGAAAGTAAAGGGACTGAAGAAAAAAAACTTCAGCAGAGAATCAGCAAAAGAAAGCAGAGGTTGCTGGAGTACTGTCAGGCAAGGGAGACTTGCAGAGCCAAGTGTTCTTAGCTGTGCTGGTATGCTGTGGGACATGGGATCTCACCCATCGCCCAAGGCGGTGGTCAGTGAGGCATCCATTTTACAAACATCGCGCCATGTGCTCACCCTGTGCCCTGGAGAACTTGCACACACACCAGGAGACAGGCCAGGAATGCTTGTAGAGTCTTCATTCGTGATAGCACGCACACACAAAACCAAAGCCAGGATGTGGTCATAAATTACGCTTCTTAAAATGGAATATTCTACGCTGTGAAATGAGCTACAGCCCCGTGCAAAAACTTGGACAGATCTTGGAAGAAGCTATCCAGGCAAGAAACAGTAGGAGCCATTTGTGTGACTGAGGACAAGCAGGGTGAGACAGTGAGCTCGAAGGATACACAGGATACAGCCTCAGGCTTGTGGTCAGTTCTGCAGGCAGCTGTCTGAGGTGTCGATAATGTTCTTTTGCTTTGCTTGAGTGATGGAAATTCATTTTACTCTCTAAACATACATTTTATGCCCTCTAGTATATATGCTATATTTCACACACAGGTTTTTAAGAGCAGTTTTACCACATTGGCAGTTTCACTACAGTATCTAGATCAGAACATTGAAGGTAAAGAATATAAGCTATATGTGAAAAAAAAAACGGCTGGATATGGTGATTCACACCTGTAATCTCAGCTGTTTCAGAAGCTGAGATCTGGAGGATTGTGGTTTGAGGCCAGCCAGGCAAAAAATTAGCAAGACCCCATCTCAACCAACAAGCTGGGCCTATTGTGGAACACCTGTGATCCCAGCTATGCAGGAGGCATTAGGTAGGAGGATCGTGGTCCAGACCAGTCCCAGGCAAAAATGTGAGACCCTATTCAAAAAAATAAGGCAAAAAGGGCTGAAGGCGTGGCTCAAGTAGCAGAGTGCCTAGCAATTGCAAGGCCCTGAGTTCAAAGCCCAGTACTGAAATTTAAGGAAAAAAAAAAAAAAAGTGCAACTCATTCCTTTGTAGGTAATCAGTCTGTCCTCCATTGCCGATTGGCCATCACTGTGTAGAGGGTCATCCTGAGCTGCAAAGATGTGAGGGGAGTAAGGGTGATTGAAGCTGGCCACACTGCCACCCTGACTGAGATTCTCTGATAAGGGAGGAAGGGTAGAGAATTCTGGGAAGGCGGCCAACAGTGTCTGCTGCAACACGCAGAGTGAGCAGGAACTGGCAAACGGAAATATCCATAAAATTGGCTAATGTCTAGCAAAACTGACAAGACAGATCATGAACACCTGAAATGAAGTAAGGGTATCATAATTCACAGACATCAAGATAAAAAATTAACACATATCATAGATCTAAAAGTAAAATGTGAACCGTAAAACTTTTAGGAGAAAGCCTTCAGGATCTAGGGCTTGGTGAAGAGTTCTTATAGCTAAGACTAAAACCACAGTTTTGGAAAGGAAAACATGATACATTTGACTTAAAGGCTTCTGTCTAAAAACGACCCTGCTAAGAGAGCAAACAGCAGGTGCTGATGGCTCACTCCTATAATCCCAGCTACCTGGGAGGCCAAGATCAGGAGGATTGTGGTTTAAGGCCAGCCCAGGTAAATAGTTAACAAGACCCCATCAACAAAATAACCAGAGCAAAAAGGACTGGAGGTGGGTGTAGCTCAAGAGCAGCATACCTATTTGGCAAGAGTGATGTTCTTGAGTTCAAACCTCAGTCTCATGGAAAAAAAAAAAAAATCTGGACTTTGTCACCATTACTGCTTTTGTGTGGGGGTAATGGAGGTGTGGCTCAAGTGGTAGAGTGCCTGCCTAGCATGAGACCCTAGGTTCAATCCCCAGTACAGAAAAAGGAAAAAGAAAAACTACAGGCTAGAAACATACTTGCTAACCTTTATAAAATGACTTGTGGATTACATAAAGAAATGTGAATTAAGATCACAATATCATTATATACCTATTTGCACAAAACAAATCGTGATAATATTGAATGCTGGCAGGGAGGCTGAGAAACTGGATCTCTTGCACATTGTTGTTGGGAATGTAAAATGCTGTAAACACTCAGGAAAAGTTTGACACTTTCTTAAAAAAACAACATATGCTTATCATATAGCCTTATATTCCTGTGTACTTTTCCCAGAGAAAGCAAAACCTACATGTACACAGAAACCTGCATACATGTTCATAGCAGTTTTATTTGTAGTTGCCAAGAGCCAGGTTGGAAACTATCTCTCAGTGGTGACTAGTTAAACCATGGTACATCTAAACCATGGAGTACTACTCAGCAATTTAAAAGGAGCAAAGAATTATTATATGCAACAGCTTGGGTGGATCTCAAGGTCATTGTGTTGAGTTTTAAGTTATCAAATTAACCATGTGTGGTGGTACTTGTCTATAATCCTGGCATTCGGGAGGCTAAGGCAGGAGGATTGTGATTTTGAGGTCAACCTGGGCTATGGAGTGAGACCCTGTTTCAACAAAACAAACAAAAAAATAGGTATCAAATGGTCACGTAGTATGTATTCCACTGGTGTGACTTCTTTTTTTTTTTGGTATTACTGGGTATTGAATTCAGGACCTCACTTTTGTTAGGCAGAAGCTCTACCACTTGAGCTACTCTACCAGCCCTTTTTTTGTGTTGGGCATTTTCAAGATAGGGTCTCAAACTATTTGCCCAGACTGTCCTTGAACCGTTATCCTCCTGATCTCTGCCTCCCAAGTAGCTAGGATTACAGGCATGAGCCACTTGGTGACCAGCCTGGTACGACTTTCTTGAAATGATGAAGTTACAGAGATGGAGAACAAATTGGTGGTTGTGAGGGTTAGGGATGGTGAGGATGCATATGACTGTAAGGGGGGCGGCTCTGAGATGTTTGAGGTAGTTGTGGTGATGGGTTCTGTATCTTGATTGTGGTGGTGGTTACATGAACCTACTTGCATGATAAAATGAAATTAACTATAGACACACATACCAATGTCACATTCCTGATTTTGATGCTGTACTGTAGCTGTGGAAGATACTATGGGGAAAATGTTACATGGGATCCTCTGTACTATATTTTTAAGTTCCTATGAATCTATAAAGTAAAAATATTTTAAAATATAAATGGTGGGGCCATGCATGGTGTTGCACACCTGTAATCTCAGTTACTCGAGAGGCAGAAGTAGGGGGATCTCAGTCCGAGGCTGGTCCTGGCAAAAGCTCAAGACCCTCTCTGAAAAACTAAAAAGCAAGGACTAGGGGCATGGCCTAGTAAGTGTGAAGCTCTGAGTTAGGTCAGTCCTCAGGACTGCCAAAAATATTTAAAGTCTGTGTGTGTGAGAGTGTGTGTGTGTGTGTGTGTGTGTGTGTGTGTGTGTGTGTGTGTGTGTTGAGCAAAGAAACTGACCAAAAAAAGATGTACTGTGGTTTGGATTTTTTTTTTCCACTGCTGGAGATCATCTCCAGGACCTCACGAATGCTAGGCAAGTGCTATACCACTGAGCCACGCCCTCTGCTCTTGGATCTTTTTGTTTTGTTTTTGGGGAGAAAGGCAGTACTGGGGTTTGAACTCAGAGCCTTGCTCACTTTATGCCCAGGCCAGCCTGGACCGTGATCCTCCTCCTTACACCTCCTGTGTTGCTGGGATGACAGGCATCCTCAGCCACCACACTTACCTTTTATTGGTTAAGGTGGGGGTCTCATGAAATTTTTCCCAGGCTGGCCTCAGACAGCTAGGATTACAAGCTTGAGCCTATACCTGATCCACCTCTTAGATCTTGAATGTCCCGTAGAGGCCCACGTGCTGAAAACTGGGTTCCCA